ACAATTAGGTGTGATGTCAAAGCTAAGTCACCTATTCTTCCATTCACCAATAATTTTCATTCTAAAAATCACATCCTTTAGATTTTTCTTTTGTGCAAAATAAATGAACAGTTGTGCTTAATGTCTCAGTGTTGAGTTTCTGTTTGGAAGTGATGAAATAAAACCAAGACCTGTATATATGCTACCTGCAAGAGACTCACTTCAGATTAGAGCCACATACAAACTGGGAATGAGGGGATAGAAAAAGGTATTCCATGCAAATGGAAATAAAAAAAAGTCAGTGTGACAATACTTATATCAGACAAAATAGACTTTAAAATAAAGACTTACATAATAATCAAGGGATCAATCCAAAAAAGAAGATACAACAGTTGTAAATGTATAATACCCAATATAGAAGCCCCTCAATATGTAAGGCAAATATTAACAGACATAAAAGGAGAAATTGGCAATAACACAATAATAGTAGGGGACTTTTAACACTCCACCTACATCAATGGACAGGTCATCCAGGCAGAAACTCAGTTCAGATCCTTAGCTTGAATTAACTGATGCCTGTGGTTCTGATCATGGCTATCATTGCAGAGAATGACTTACCTCTCATGTGTCCACCCCCACCTCAGCCCCTAGCTGCAAGTCCTGTTGGGGCCATCTCATTTAGAGCAGAACTCTGAAGAATTAAAGATAAAGTCCCAAGTGTTGGGATATCTGAACCAGGTGAAGACAGCGCTCAAGCTGATAGGAGGGTGTAGCTTGGCCATTTATTTTGGAAACACTCAGGGTAAAACTAGCAAATGTGTTATCATGGGAAGTGCATGCGTCAACAGAGACCTGGATGTAGACCCAAGACTCAACAGTCACTTCCAGGCTGAGTCGCCTTGGACAGACTTTGACCTTGGACAGAGATTAAATAAACTAATCTTTCTGTTGTTCAGTTTCCCTTCTGGAAAAAGAAGACACTAACTGGGTTGTATTGCAGCTTAAAAGACAGTAAGAGGATCCCCTCGTCTGTACCCCCCCACCCCACAACTCCTCACCCAACCTCCTACCCAGCCCGTGGAGTCTCTTTGCTCTGAGACCTCAGCTCCAGGTGATATGTCTTTCAATGTCTCCTCTTGGCCTTCAACCTATCCTTTTTTTGCCCCATGTCTGTTTTTTAATTCTTCAAATAACCACAATGTAGAATTGAAGACTTTTAAAATATTGATATTGATCAAATAAATTTATATCATCTTTTTATTAATCTTTAAAATCATTTTTAACCTTTTCTTTTCAAAATGTTCTGTGTCCAAAAGCAAGATCAATGACTTTTTAAAAAATGTTTCTGTTTTTGGGGCTGGTAACAGATTTGACTTTAACCTCTTATGAGTGAATGGCCTTTATAACTCACGTTTCTCTAACTTGGTGTAGAAATTTGGAGTGAGTCAAGTGATTTTTCTGACTTCAGTTCAGTTCAATCACTCAGTCGTGTTCAGCTCTTTGCGACCCCATGAACCGCAGCACGCCAGGTCTCCTTGTCCATCACCAACTCCTGGAGTCCACCCAAACCCATGTCCATCGAGTTGGCGATGGCATCCAGCCATCTCATCCTCTGTCGTCCCCTTTTCCTCCTGCCCTCAATCTTTCCCAGCATCAGGGTCTTATCCAGTGAGTCAGCTCTTCACATCAGGTGGCCAAAGTATTGGAGTTTCAGCTTCAGCATCAGTCCCTCCAATGAACACCCAGGGCTGATCTCCTTTAGGATGGACTGGTTGGATCTCCTTGCAGTCCAAGGGACTCTCAAGTGTCTTCTCCAACACCACAATTCAAAAGCACCAATTCTTCTTCACTCAGCCTTCTTTATAGTCCAACTCTCGCATCGATACATGATTACTGGAAAAACCATAGCCTTGGCTAGACGGACCTTTGTTGACAAAGTAATGTCTCTGCTTTTTAATATGCTGTCTAGGTTGGTCATAACTTTCCTTCCAAGGAGTAAGCATCTTTTAATTTCATGGCTGCAGTCACCATCTGCAGTGATTTTGGAGCCCAGAAAAATAAAGTCAGCCACTATTTCCACTGTTTCCCCATCTATTTGCCATGAAGTGATGGGACTGGCTGCCATGATCTTAGTTTTCTGAATGTTGAGCTTTAAGCCAATTTTTTCACTCTCCTCTTTCACTTTCATCAAGAGGCTCTTTAGTTCTTCCTCACTTTCTGCCATAAGGGTGGTGTCATCTGCATATCTGAGGTTATTGATACTTCTCCCGGCAATCTTGATTCCAGCTTGTGTGTCCTCCAGCCCAGCATTTCTCATGATGTACTCTGCATATATTCTGACTTAAGAGTGCCCAAATCACAGCTTGCTGTGTGAGAGTTATATAAATTTCTCTGTTCATGTCAGCTTTGTGGTGTGTAGAACATGGAAGTGTTAATCTTTGCTTGGGGTAAAGTAGCATGGGACCCGAGGTCAACCTTGCCAGGGTGGAGTAGAAGCAAGCATGGCAGCATCATAGATGGAGGAGATACAGGGACCCCAAGATTCTGCAAGAGTGGAGACCTAATCCAATCCAGGACTTTGGACCAAGCTCTGACAGCGCAGGGTCTTCCCTCAGGTCCTCAGTTATGATATGGGGCCTCAACAGCCAAGAGTCATCATGAAACTGGTCTCATCACAATTGTATTTAGACAATTCATATCTCAACTCTCTGCAGTTGTCCATGAGATGAGACCTGTGGAGGACTTCTCGTGTTTGTTCTATCCATTTAACCATGTTTTAAGAGCTGACTATATAGCAGACACCATGATTGTGGTACCCAAATGAGTGACTCCCAAGCCCTACCCTTCCTGGACTAAAGGTGTAACAAGAGACCCATCTGCAAACAAGCAGTCAGAGGCTGTGCCCCAGTGGGATGTCCACAGGCGCTTTGAGAGTTTATACAGGGCAGGACTAACTCTTGAGGGGATGAAAGTGAAAGTGAAGTTGTGTCCAACTCTTTGCTACCCCATGGACTGTAGCCTACCAGGCTTCTCCATCTATTGGATTTTCCAGGCAAGAATACTGGAGTGGGTTGCGATTTCCTTCTCCAGGAGATCTTCCTGACCCAAGGATTGAACCTGGGTCTCCCACATTGTAGGCAGATGCTTTACCAGGGATGAAGTGAAAGGCAGCTCCTTCAGAGGGCTGGGAAGATCCCCTGGAGAAGGGAATGGCTGCCCACTCCAGTATTCCGGCTTGGACAGTTCCATGGACCGTATAGTCCATGGGGTCACCATGCATCAGACATGACTGAGCGACTTTCACTTTCCAAGGCTGAGGCATTGGCAATGTGGTTTCTAGCCACAGCTCTGCATCTGCACCGGGTCTGCCCTGTTGGGTGACTCCCAGCCAGTTTCCTCATCTCTGATGTGAGAAGACAGCACTCACCTTCGCCACCTCTGGAGGTGGAAGTGAAGCAACAAGCATTTTGCTTCACTGTTAAGACTGCTCTTGAGGATACACACCTGTCAGGAGGCTCTTCTTGGGCCCCAGCAGCAGCGTGTGCCTGCAGGACGGTGGATCTGCCTGGGCTCAGGGTTCGGTGTGTGGCTGTGAACTTCACGCTTGTCCTCATTAGAACAACATGACTAAGTCTATGGCCCTGGCGGTCTTTTCTGACAGTAAGCTTTGTCCTTAGAGTCTGATTGGGTAAATCCCCCCTCTCTCTCTTGCTGATCCTGTGCGCTTTCAGGGGTTACTAAACAGAATGAGCCCCGGGTTTCTCATCTGTATAATAGAGATGATGATAATAATTCATACATTGTAGGATGGTTGTGAAGATCAAAGGACAGAATGTGTGCAAAATACCAGGCCTTAATATTTAATATTTGTGACTCTGATAGTCACCATTGTGGGGACTAGGGGAATAACCAGAAGAGGTCCCAGAGGACCAGGATAAGGCTCCTGCTTGGCCACTGTCATGGTTGTTCCTGCCATGGTGGACGTCACTGCTATGCCCATAGCACCCTGGATGATTGAGAAAGGCTGAGCCATCTATTTTCCTATTTGTAGATAGTGCAGGTGGCCAAGACTGTGTGAATTCCTTATCACTATCATGTTTTCAAAAATACTAGAATGTAACTCAAGCTTTCAAAAGGAAGGAAATGCTATCTCAAGAATGAACTTTGAGGGTGTTGTGTTGTATGTGTGTGCATGTTCAGTCGTGTCCAACTCTTTGCGACCCCATGGACTGTAGACAGCCTGGCTCCTCTGTCCATGGGATTTTCTAGGCAAGAATATTGTAGTGGGTTGCCATTTCCTCATCCAGGGGAGCTTCCTGACCCAGGGGTCAAACCTGCATCTCCTGCTTTGGAGGCGGATTTTTCTACTGCTGCGCCATCAGGGAAGTCCCGTTGAGGGTATTCTAAGTGAAATAAGCCAGTTACCAAAAGACAAATGCTGTGTGATCATCCCACTTATATGAGGTACCCAGGGTAGTTAAACTCCTAGACCCAGAAAGAAAAGAGGTGGCTGCCACGGGCTGGGGGGAGGGGATGGAGGAGAGGGGAGAAGGGGAATTGTTTAATGAGTATGAGTTTCAGTTCTGCAGGATAAAATGAGTTCTGGAGATTGGTTGCATAATAGTGTGAATATGCTTCACGCTTCCAAACTGCATACCTACAAATAGCAAAGACAGTAAATTTTGTTATGTGTATTTTACCGCAGTCTTATAGGAGCTTATTGAGCACATTATGGGCCAAGAGTACAGTGGTCCTGGGCCAAGGGGAAAGTGGAAGTGAAAGTTGCTCAGTCGTGTCCTGGGCCAAGGGGAAACAACGTGATAAAAACAAATGTGGCCCCTGTCTTCCCTTATGGAACTTACAGGCTGGTAGGGGAGACCTGCCACAGGAAGAATGACATTAATGGGCAAAAGTGCAGCTGGAACAGGTGCTCCATTGAGACGTTCACAGTCCCTTGAGAACCTAGAGTGCAGGGACTTGACCACAACAGAGAAGTCAGGCCAAGAGCAAAGATGAGCGAGATGAAGGAAGACCATCCTAGGAATGTGCAAAGCATGAACCAAGGCTGCCTCAAGGAGGCCAGTGTGGCCGGAGCACAGAGGGTGGAGAAAATGTGCTGTGAACAGAGGCTGGGGAACATGCAGGGGCCAGACCCCACAGCCTCGCTGACCACAGTGAGGAGTTTGGTCTTCCTTCCTGAGCCACAGGGACCCCACTGAGGGTCTTGAGCCAAGGATGGGGAGACAGAAAAGCAGGTCTGTGCTTTGAAAAGATCAATCCAAAGGAACATTTTTTTTTTCCTTACAAGGAAAGATCTTATCAAATACTCAGTTGTAGTCATCCACATGGAAATAGTGAACGAATCCCCTAGATATTTCTCCAGGGCCTGATATTTAGAAGACCCTGACAAGAATACAGATGAAGACCCACATCCCATAAGTCTAAATAATTATAGGCTGTAATCAAGCCGCTGCCACTGCTGTTAAGTTGCATCAGCCATGTCCAACTCTGTGTGACCCCGTAGACGGCAACCCACCAGGCTCCGCCATCCCTGGGATTCTCCAGGCAAGAACACTGGAGTGGGTTGCCATTTCCTCCTCCAATGCATGAAAGTGAAAAGTGAAAGGGAAGTCGCTCAGTCATGTCCAACTCTTAGCGACCCCATGGACTGCAGCCTACCAGGCTCCTCTGTCCAGGGGATTTTCCAGGCAAGAGTACTGGAGTGGGTTGCCAGTGCCTTCTCTGGAGTAATCAAGCTAAGAAACCGTTATTAATATGTTGAATCTTCTTACCATGACAAACATATCTTTATAACTCAAATGTCAAAAAAGATACGAATACCTGTGGTTTTTAATGGAACTAATAGTCAACAAAGTGTCAAAGATGATTGAATTTAACTGTAACTACACTGTCTGGAATTTCTGTTGGGTCAATGAAACGTGAATGAGTAATAAAATATTTTATAATTAGTCATTTTCTATTTTATAATTTTTGGCTTTTATAGTAAAATAATTAACTATATTATTTTAATTAAGATTTTCATATAACTCATGTTATTTTACTAGAAATGCTGAACTAAATGACTTTTTGTAACAGGTATATTGAATATATATTGTATATATTACAATTCATCCATTTGAAATATCCAACTTTTCTTGAGTCATTTTAGTTCTCAGATCATTTTTCATTAATTACAATTTGAAGAAACTTTGCCCTATTGAGGTCATATCAACCTGAATTGTTAAAAAGAAACCTTCTTTAAAGCAATATTTGAATTTGAACCATAAATACATTATGTTCCAAACATGGTGATAAGATCTCTTAGATAAATTATCACAAAAACTGTTAGAAAGTATTTTAATTCCATCACTCAAGTCTATCACTTATATTGCAACTTTTTCTGTCTGTCCAAGCAATATCTCAGTCTAATGTAAAGCCCCAGCATCATGTTTCATACAGGTTGTCTGGGCATCTATACATATTTAATGGCAATAGGAATGGTTTGATGTTGTAAAATGCTCCTTGGTTGCCATGTACAAGTGTCATGAGTTTGGAGGGCCTCCTGAAGAGCAGATTGGAATATGAGGAGTGGGAGGAATATAGACATTTGGTACAACTGGGGAAGGTGCTTTATTGTTCAAGGATCCATTGAAATCATGTGTCTGAAAGAAAGGAATTGGCAAGTCAGCCTTTTCTCCTATCCAGGGGTTTCTGCTCCTCAGACCCTCCCTGACCTCTGAGGCAGCAACCCCAGCCCTGCTATAGCTGGGATTAGCAGTAGGAAAACCCTTAAATGTTTAGGGCTTTCAGGCACAGTAGCCAATTGTTTCAAGGTCTTAGGGCTAGGGATGTGGGGGAGCAATTCCCTGGGGCCTAAACAGTGTTAGTCACGAGAGCTGATGCTTAAGATTACTCCAAGTGACATGGACACTTATGTGTCCTTAATAAATTGTGTGTGATTGCTTCTCGGCCTTTTAGCTAAGATCAGGTGTAATAAATTGTGTGTGTGTGATATTTGCAGCCCTCTAAAGCACAGGCCCTGGGGTTTAGGATGGCACTACCCTGCAGCGTAAATTGCCTAGGTATTCAGCAGTCCCTTTCCAAGTCCCCATGTCAACTTACTAATCCTGATATTGACCAACACTGCCACAGAGTCCTTTTTTTCTCACTCTACTCCTTTTAAAGTCTGCTGACTGCATTTTTCTCATTGATTTGTCTTATTAGGAACTGGTGAAAGTGGCAAAAGCACCTTTATCAAGCAGATGAGAATCATCCATGGGTCTGGTTACAGCGACGAAGACAGAAAGGGGTTCACGAAGCTGGTTTACCAAAACATATTCACTGCCATGCAAGCCATGATCAGAGCCATGGACACCCTGCGGATACAGTATGTGTGCGAGCAGAACAAGGTAACGTGCTTAAGAGGGCTGGAGCCATTTGTGAATGCCATGCTCTCTCTGAACGGAAAGATGTACTGAGTGCTCTCAGCAGAGGCCAGAAGAAGCTCTTGAGCTCAGACTCTGGGTTAGAGCTCCTCCAGAGGAGTGTGATGAATTTAGGCACAGTCTGATTTCTGCAGAAGCTCTAGCACAGTGGTGTGGTGCTGCCTCGTGTGCAGTCATCTCAGTGCCTTTTTTGGGGGTGCTGAGATAAGGAAGACATATATTTACATTTCCTCTTCCAGCTGAGATACCTCGTTACTTTCTTGCTTTGAGCGATGGTGGTCTTGGGTTTACAGTGGACAACTTTTTGTTTTGTTTTTTTTTTTTTACAATGGACAACTTTTTAAGAATTCCTAGTCTTAGGAAATATTTTCATAAATGTCCTGCAGACTACTCAGAGAAGGCAGTGGGTTTTGTTTGTTTCTTTTGGAAGCTGACCCTTCTTAGGAGCTAACTGATAATTTAGGAAGAGTAATGCTTGTGTCTCGACTAGCAAGGGACTCTCCCAAAGTAATGATATCAAGTTGCCATTTGCTTTCCTCTCTCTGTGGGTTATTTAAAATCCGTATCTGTTTGAGACTATAGGAGAATAATGAGACAGGAAGGTGGGAGAAGGAGACAACAAATTTCTAGGGTGTATAAGAATGTAAATCCATGGGAAAATACTATGAGCTCATTAAGAATCGAGATGACAGAATTTCTTTAAAATAATTCGTACCGAGTTATAACACGACATGATGATAAAGAGAAAAATTCCAAGATGAGTCCCTCGTGAATTGATTAGGAAGAATTTAGCTGCTCAAAAGCTGGAAGAGTGGCTTAAATATAGACCTCAGGAACTGCTTTATCATAAGCTTGTGGCATTTGTTTTTATGTGTATTATACAGAGTTTCAAAGCAGTAAGTCTAATTTTTTTTTTATCACTCAGTGACTGCATTACATAGGAAAACTCAACATGCACCAAATTTTAGACATACCTTTATACTGTGACTACAGTCTTGTATCTTTACTACCATTTCCTTGCAGTCTTGAGGAAATGAAGGAAAGTATAATATCTCACCTACAGCTTCAGCCTTCAACAGCGTTATGTTGAAAACTGTGTGTGTGTGCATGTGTGACAGGCGGGGATGGTGGTAGTGGTGGAAACTAACCTTTAGAATATCTGGTGCCAAGTAATGTGAGAGGTGGGTCATGAACCATTGGAAAGTTCTACAAGTAACTCTGATTCCTTTACAAGTTGGCTTTGAGTATGTGCCTTATATCTTTTTGGTTTTTTTTTTATAAGCATATTTTAATTTTTTGAATTTTCATTATATCTTTTTGAATGTGTGCAATTTTTTTAAAAAAATCACCCTGTACGAGCTAGTTTAAAAATTAGGTCATCTGTAGAAATTTAAGATTATTTCAGAGAAGAGATAGGAACATCCTTGTGGTGATTTTAGTTAATCTACTTTCCTTCTTGGTAAAAAGGCATTTTGTTTCCCAGTCATAGTGGGGTGACTGGGGAAAGCTTGGAATTTAGGAATGGGTTTGTAAACAGGCCTGTTGGAAAGAGAAGACTCAAGTATGAGTCAGTTCTGCTTACCTTGGCAACATGTGTTTGTAAAAACCCAATCAGATTTAGGAATCAAGGTCTCTGGATTTCTGTTTTGTTTTCCCTCAAGGTCTTCTAGAGGTACTCTGAGTTTGTGTCTCAAAGAGAAAGGTTTTACAGGGCTCGACATTCCACCACTTTCTTCTGTTCTCTTGATCTGCATTCTTTTCCATAAGGCCAAGTCCCCTTGCCCACTCATCTGCATTAGTTTCCTCCAGCTGCCATAACAAAGCACCTCAAACTGGGTGGCCCGAGACAGATTTCTTCCTTCCCGGTTCTGGAGGCGCGAAGTCTGAAACCAAGGACCTGGTTCCGGCCGGAGTCTCTGTCCCACGCGGTTGCCTGGTTGTGGGGTTGCTGGCAATGTGCGGCGCCCTTTGGCTGGTGGCCGCCTCCCTTCAGCGCCTCACTCTGTCTCCACGCAGAGTTCTCGCCTGTGTCTCTGTGCTCTCGGGGCATTCCCCGCTGTGTGTCCGTTTCTCCCTCTTCCCACGAGGACAGCAGTCATTGGATTAGAGCCATCCGAATTCAGGGTGACCTCATCATAGCTTGATATACCTACAAAGACTCTATTTCTCAATTAAGTTACTTTCTGAGATTTGGGGTTTGCATGGATTTCAAGGCAACACTATTCAACCCAGTATGGTCCGACCTCTGCCTGCTCCCATGAATGTCATGTCCATTAGCAAAATACTTTCACTCCATTCTAATATCCGCCAAAGATTTAACCCTAAAAACAGCATCAACTCTAAGTCCCAAATCTGATCTAGTATCAGTTCAGAAGGCCTCCAGTCTCATCATTTAAATCCTCTATCTCAGGATGGTGGTCCATCCTAGAGCAGAATTCTCCTTCCACACACCTGTGAAACTAGGAAGTGAATTAATCATGCCTTTGTCCCTTCCTCATTTGCTGTCTCTGGCTCCATTCTCAATGCCTTCTTTCTACTTCAAGTACCTACATTCATGCATCATCAACTTCTACTTATCTCTCAAACATATGCCAGGGGTAAACCATATATTGAAATGGCTTAAAGAGATGCTTCCCTGGTGGGCTCAGATGGTAAAGAATCCACCTGCAATGCAGGAGACCTGTGTTTGATTCCTGGGTCGGGAAGATTTCCTGGAGAAGGGGATGGCTATCCGCTCCAAACTGTTGCCTGGAGAATCCCATGGACAGAGGAGCCTGGCAGGCTACATAGTCCATGAGGTCGCAGAGTTAGACATGACTGACAGACCAACAAGGAGAGGCAAAATGTCGAGTAGGAAAAAAATCACTGGATTGGTCCTACAAATCCAGGCTCTGTTCGTAGCTCCCTTGTAGGTCTCAGATGGGAGTCTCTAAACTTTTTCTCTAAAGGGCCAGAGAGGAAATATTTTCAGCTTTGAAGGCTACCGTCTCTGCTGCAACTATTCAACTCTGCTGTTTTACAAAACCAGGCATGAGTGATGCATAAAAATGAGTGAGGCTTGCTTACAAACTCTGTTTGCGAAATGTGAAAACTATTCTTAACTCATGGGCCAAACAAAAACAGGCCAGAAGTGGATGGAGTCCATGGACTGGAGTTGCTGACTCAGTCCTAGGGGAAGATATGGAACCTCTTCCATGTGGAAATTTTGATCAATTTCTTCTCTACTATTTTCTGAATGATTGCCTCTGTGGGCTAGTCCTGATCACAAATGTGAAACTATAACCAAGTACTCTTCTTAGGTCATAAAATGATCAAATGATTAATGCTCCAGGGGTTTAAGTAATTACTTAAGGAACATGATCTATTTTCTTTACAAAGTATTGCTTCATTTAAAACAGTTGACTAGTTAAGATGAGTATGAACACAACTAATTAGCTTTTCTTTTCAGTCCTTCTCTCACTTCTTGTCGTTGAATATTTATTTCTATTTGATTTTTTCACAGCTAGAAACACTTTCTTAAAAATAAGTAGAGGAGGATTAAGAGCACTTTTAGAGGGTTTTATTTTAAATGTTAGCAGGATTATGGCTCAGCCAGTTTGTTGAAAATCTTTGCTTGTTACTTGACAGGCTGCTTTTGAGAGGAAATTTGTCAGAAATTCAGTGTAGCATTTGGTTTTTAACCAATATGTTTACTCAATTAAGATTTAGCTTTGAAGATTATTTTCTTATACATTGCCTGCCTTTTTTTCCTAAAGAAATGATTCATACGTATTTGCTCACTCTGTTGATAAGCCTTAATTTTTATGAATGTCTCTCGAGTGTCATGAGCACATATTAGAATTTATGACTTCTTGAATAAATATTACAGAAGCGTTTACTCAGTGTCAGGACTCCTAACATTGAATTAGTTTATATCTTATGTTGCCTGGTGATGATTTCATGGGAAAGCTTTTTTTTTTTTTTAACTCTTTGTAGTGTCTCCAATTTGAGAAATTCTTACTCTAGGCCTGTAGTAGGGTGAAGGAAATCTTATCTCATTTTAAGGTTCTGCAGAATCTGCTTGGATGATTTAGATAAGTGTTTTCCAAGGACAAAGGACAGCCCTGCCTGACTTTTCAAAAATGCTTGGTTTCAAGAACAAGGTCTACAGATTCTTTTGGTAGCTTACCCCAGCTTCTTCCCTGCCCTCCCACTTATAGGAGCTCTTCACCACACCGCGGTCACATCATATGTGCATGTAACTTGCTGTTATTCCGTCGGTAAGTTATGTCTGACTCTTTGCAACCCCATGGGCAGCACACTGGGCTTCCCTGTCCTTCACCATCTCCTGGAGTTTGCTCAAACTCATGTGCACGGACTCAGTGATACCATTCAGCCATCTCATCCTCAGTTGCCCCCTTCTTCTGCCTTCAGTCTTTCCCAGCATCAGGGTCTTTACACACATTTAACTGCAAGGGCTCATCATAAAAACAAAAACAGCGTCTTTAAAAAGGAGGGTTAGTAATTGAACAGCAAGAGGAGTATTTTGCCTGCCATTTGCCTCAGGAACTTAATTTGGAATTCACTGTTTCCAGAAGCTTGAAGTCTGAAATTTCCTTCAAAAGCATCTTTGTCTTCTACCAGAAGCTTGTGCTGAATTCCAAGTCACACTTGGGGCAGGGGACTTGGGCCCTCCAGCCAATCACAGCTCTTGAAAGTCTGAATTTGGTGGGGTTTAATTGATGCTGAAGCTGAAACTCCAGTACTTTGGCCACCTCATGTGAAGAGTTGATTCATTGGAAAAGATGCTGATGCTGGGAGGGATTGGGGGCAGGAGGAGAAGGGGACGACAGAGGATGAGATGGCTGGATGGCATCACTGACTCGGTGGGCATGAGTTTGAGTAAACTCCGGGAGTTGGTGATGGACAGGGAGGCCTGGCGTGCTGCGATTCATGGGGTCGCAAAGAGTCAGACACGACTGAGC